TGTGAAAAAAGCGAGTGAAAGGGCAAATGCTACAAAAATAGTAAACCAAAACAAAACAAAAGCCCAATGAGACTGCTGTTCTCTGGAGTTTTTGTTCGTTTGTTTAGAGAACAGAAACAAATCTACTTAAGATATAGTATATATTAAAATCTGCTCCTAAGACTAAGGGTGCCTCCATTCTCAGTAAGGAATGCTAAATTAACATATTGCCAGGGTTATCAATTTTCAACTCATTTGCTGAAAAACAAATGTAGTCACTAACAATGATTAGACTTCAGTCTTTGAAGGATGTTAATAGTTAAAAAGAGAACCCTTTGCTACTACATTCAGCCTATAAAGGATTACTCTTTTATTAGTGTAGCTGAGGGATTAGCAGAAATGTTTGTCTAATGAATGCAGCTACTATATTTGAGCACATGCCTGAATAAGCTACTTGTCAATTGAAACCTATCTATTTACAAGTACTTCTGAATGGTGCAAAATCTGTTTTGCAGCATTGCAATGACTTTTGCGTAACAGTAAATATTTTATTGCCACTCACATTGTGAAATTCACCTCATTTGCCAGTTTTATTTCTGAAACCCGTCATGTAAAATGTACAGGATGGATTTTCCTACATCTGGCCTGATTTGCTTATGATTCTTTAGCTCAAAAAAAAAAAGTGTTGCTGGTTTGGCAGTTCTCAACAGGGGACAGGCACATCTTTTATATGCACTCGTGTACATAACACATCTCCAGAAATGCCAATTATAGCATTTCTTAAAGTAAGTGCTATCCATGTCTGTCTTAATTCAAGGTAACCATCAAAATTTTGTGATAAAATAAACTACGTGCTTACATATACATATATACATACAATATAAATAAAAATAGTGAAATTAATTTCTTGAAATAATTTGAAACGCAAAGCGCTTAGTTTGAGTAATCACACTGAAAACAATCCCATGCAGTCGATGGTAATTTTTTCCTCTTTAGAGTAAGATTTTCTTATCAAATTCCAGTTTATTTTTAAGCTCAGAGCACCCAAGCTGTACACTCTCAGCTGTTACCTTTTCCCTATTTCATACACACTTCTGGTACAGAGCTCTGCATGAATGCAGATGAAGAAAATTTAAATGCTTGTATATTATTTTAATTTGTATTACTCTGGAAATAGCATGAGTTTTTTTAGCTTACTTTTTCCATTGAAATACATTATGTTCATCTGTACTGTCATTCATGCAGTCACTGATACTGAGACAGAAATACTAAACAGAACAATCAAGTCAAAATAATTTCAAAGTGATTTTATACCTTCTTGGGCAGCACCGCTCCATTCGGGATAAAATTAATACCTCTTTTTTTCTGCCTTATTTATTTTGAAAATAATTAGAGGTGTAGTTTGAACCAATGTATGTACATATCCGAAAGCTAAAATTGTAAATGTATCCCCTGTATTTGCATATAAGCCATACACCATTTTTAGATCTGAAAAATTATTCCAAGCTTTATTACTTTTCAATGCATTTTTGGTACAGAGCTCTGCATGAATGATGGGATGAGAGCTGCCTGCCTTTCTGAATGTACCAGTCAGCATGGTGGAAGGAACATTGAGCACGATGTGATGTGGAGCACAACATTTACTGGCATTTATTTGGGATGACCTCCCGAGCCAGCGTGACCTCACTGGCCCTAAGAACATTTACTTCTGCTCATCAGTAATGTCCCAAACCCAAGAAAACTTTTTAGCACCACGCCCGGCTGTGTACACTTCGTCTGTGTAGACACAGCCCTCTGGGCGAAGCAGGAGATGTTCCCTGGGTTCTAACCACTAGTGGCTGAAAATACATTATATGTTGAACTCTATTAAGTCAGACATACAAACAAACCCTCTTAGGCCATGGAAATAAATTCTTTTTCATACAGCATACTTCCTTCAAGCTTTACTGGCTTTATACTCATCTTTAAAAACTCTGAGACACTGGCTTCCCTGTCTAGGTCAGTAGAAGTCGAAAAATTCTAGACTCTACCTCTGCTTTACACCAAATTAGCTCTAATGGCAGACAGATGACAAAATGGGTACTCCTTAATACTTCTAAAGTCAAAAAGACAAAGATTGGAAGTACCTGACGTTCTACGTGAACTGTAAGCCATTCCTGTGAAACATTGCTTCACCAGGTCCGTGCTACACTAAGTAACGGTTATCGTATAGCTGTACATAGAGCACTTGAAAATAACATAGATATTATAGACGTATTTGTAGGTGTCACAACTACATCAGGAAAGGACTGTCCAGTTTTGCTAAACTCTCGAGGATTCTGCAGTTGTCATGGGAGTGATCTGAGTGAAAAACATTCCCATGTTAGAAGACAGACGCTCCCAGTAAGATGGAGATCTGGAAATTCTGCAGCACCTTTAGGAATCATTCCTTCCTCTTTCCATACTAGCGAGTCTTTTTTTTTGACAGCCAGAGCTTTTATAGTAACATTGTCTTCATGACAACAGTCTCCTAGAGCTATTCTGAACCAAATGCTGATGAGGCACGAGTACAGAAAATGAGTACCATACAGAACTGAGGTGGCTTTTGTGTCTGTACAGTTTTAAAAGGCCCCCGTGATGAACACCAAAGAAGCATTACAGGCTCACCTTCTATCTGAGGGCTATGAAAACGCCGCTAAGACAAAGAAAGAGGAAGCGAGAACATACCTGGTATGAGATTTACATCAGGCATTCAGTCTCATAGATGAAGTGGCTGTTCTGAAAAGCCAGTGTCTCCTGAACGGTGAGCCAGCTCCTGCCTCTCCATCCTCCACACCATGTATATTGTCTGTACATATTTAAATCGCGTAGTTTTAAGTCTCTGCAGACATCTCCCCTCCATTAAATTAATTACAACAGGAAAATTGGTGTGCTGTCGTAACACTAGTCACACTACTCTTCAGGAACACACTGTCTGTGGATAGTAGGCTTTCCCTGTATTAGGTGAAAGACGAAGTTGTTGTAATTCCACACATCTGTTAAGAGAGAGAGGCTCAAACGAGATAAAAAAATCTGTGCTGAGAAGATGTGAAGTACTGCAGGGGAGAGACATTGGAAGAGCAGAATGACTTTTTCATGCAATCACCTTTAGGCAAATAAACAAAAATTATTTTCAAAAGAAAAAAATCAAAAGAGAAAGGAAATAAAGGCCGTCCCATAGACCTTTCTAATATTCTATATGAAATGTCAACTTCCCATCTAGCATTATTAAATGCTAGGCAGGAGCCGTTACACAAAAATGAATGTGGCTTCATGTTCTGCACCTCCAAACTTCAGTTACAAAAGTGTCTCAGGTAGATTCGATGGAAATTATTTTCTTTTAAACCAAGACAACTGAATTCGAGCCTCATGTTTTCAAGTTGATAGCAGGATATAATTCTGATTTAAAATTTGCTATAAGATCACAAGAAAAATAGGAGATTTTTCTGCCACTGAACAATTCTACACCTAAACCCTTTCTTGCCAAGAAAATTTAGTGCTGGGAACAAAACAATAGTTTTGAAGATTTTTTTTTTCTTTTCCTTTGTGAATACGGTAAATCATCAAAATATAATTATAAAAAAGATAGTACTAGTGAGAGTCTGTCACAAAACTCACAGCTTGTTTTTTTCAGTCAGGTGGGCCCCTCACTATACATTTGAGCAAAACGGGAGTATCTCCAGTAAATTCACTCTGCACAAACTTTAATGCCTTCTCCTTTTCTGGGACATTTCAATGAAGAAGTGTTTCAGAGCCAGGTCTCTTTCACTAGCAGGTAAACTCTTTGTTAAGATAATAATTTTTATGGGAACCTCATGTTAAATACTGGGAGCAAACAATTTATTCTCCATTCTAAGAAGCTTTACAAGGATACAAAGCTTTACAGTCATCAAGATGGTTTCCTTTTTCACACACCAAAGTAACAGGCTTTCACTGATGCTTCAAACCCAATTAATTGTTCGGTTTCCTTTTACCTTCTGACTTGCTCTTCAGGGACAGTATTCTTGCCATTTAGTAACACTATAGTTTTAATGACTGTACCACAGATGGTACATATCCAGACTATAGATAACCATGTTTACAGAGACTGTATCATTCTCACATAGAAGAAAGAGCCAAAATAATGATGAGCGAGGACACTATTTCGCATAGGTTTCCGGAAAACCCTGACAAAAATTCTATTTTAAGAAGAGCTGTAGCAAAGATGCTTAAAAAAGAAACAATGCAAAATAGTCTAGACGAAAATGTCTTATTTAGGTCTAGTCAGATGAGTATTTTAGATTAGATTGCAGTTTTATTGCTGCCTCAGTGGGGGGAAATCCCCATGCCTGTAAAGGGCCTAAATGAAGCGCTAGTGTATTGCTCACGGGACATACATTATGAATTTTTTAATAAAATAATACTGCTTTAAGTAGCAACTGTTCGTAAATCCTAATGCAGCAAACATCCTGCTACTCTGATTGCATTACAAAAAAAAAAGACAAAAAAGGCTAAATTCTTCCTCACAGGACCCCACTCCTACTCCCCTGTAAGCAATTAACACCAAATTAAAACCGGAAAGTGCCTGATGACCTCTCGAGCCACCTCTGGCCCCGGCCCTGCCTGCAGTCCCTCAGCGCCCAAGGCGCTCCCCGCCATGACAGCCCGCCCTCACCTAAGCGTCCCATGGCTGACAGGCCAGCCTTACAGCTCTCTGATTGGCTAGGGGCAGGCTGGCGCAGCCTCCGATTGGCTGCACGCCTCGCTGGGCCCGGCTCCCGCCTCTTGCCCTCCTGCTCCCCTTCGTCAGCGCAGGTGTGGCGCCCCGAGGAGGTCTGGCGCCTCAGCGCCATGCAGCCAGGCGGCACTGATCCTCAATAACCGCCTTAGAAACACGAGTAGCTCTGTTCCCCAAAATCTGGGCCTGAGGAAGCAAAACAGACAACTCTGTAAGGCAGCGAAAGAAGATAAGAATCTTAAAAAGCAACCTGAACTCTAAAGAAAGCTGATCACAACAACAGCACTGTACAGAAAAATGTTTATTGAGACTGGTTTTGTGTTAGAATTGTTACAGTTTCATCAGCAAAAGCTGTGGCAAAAGAAAGATGTCATTCTTGTCTTCCTGTTGCGAAACCTGGTCTGTAGGTCAGCACTGGTCTCTCAGCTGGTTGCTCAGCTCCTGAAGTTCAGTAATCATGTTGTCCATGGTTGTCACCTCATCAGCTATCTCACTGTGAACCTCATTACTTGTTACATCGACAAAAAGTTGCTGCACGACAAAAAGAAATGCATTATTTTAAACCACACATACCGTTTCTCAGTTTCAGCACAGAGGCAGAACACAGGAAGCTCATCGCCACTATCCCGCCTTTCGTATTTTTGGTACCTATGATGGTTTCTGTCTCCTTAAAAAGCCGTTTTGTGGCTAATAAACTGAAGGGGTATACATACATACATGTGTACACACACATGCATACACAGACCTGAGGTCTGTGCCACACACCTGATATTTTGCCAAAGGGGCTGAATCCTCCTGTGTACGCTGGATTTCTGCTCTGACCTGACTGCCTACGCTGACTCTCGATCCCATCGAAAGTGAAGGACTTTACCATGAAACTCAGATTAGACGAGCATCTCACAAACCGTCACTGCAGTTTACAAACCCACCTGCTGATAAATTAGTAGTTGTGAATTTTAACGGACGTTTTTCCCAAGTGTCACATGCTGTTGCATCATTTTCTCCAAAACCTCAAATAAACATGTTTTAACATTTGATGTCAAGACATATGTGGGTGGAGATATTCATCTGTGTGCAATTAAGTTATACAAGAGAAAACAATACACTACAGAGTAATAAAAATAGTTTCTTCTTAAAGACCTTAAGACATTAACAAAAACACAAAGCAGTTAACTCATGAGCAATCATAATCTTCGTGTATTTAGAAGGAAACCAAGGACAAGGGATGCTAAATGACTTGTCTAAAGCCTTGAGATACGCAAACTCTGACTGAAGCTTTGTGTATGCTGTAGCACCAGAACACTTTGATATTGCAAGGCCAGGACCTGTTATTTGACTCAAGAAACATGGATGCTGTGAGGTACCACGCCACAGAAATATGGTGGTGGTGGGGAACCAAAAAAGTATGTTTTCCCTTTATTATGTAAAAGGAGAGTGATTCACACTTCATTTGACACAAACTTAAACCCTGCATTTAGAGACAAAAACAAACCAAGAAAACAACAGCTGCTCTCCAGTACATCTGTACATCATTATATCATCAAAACATAATGGGAATATACAGATACTTGTATAAACATAAATGTACTTAAAAGGCCTGAACCAAGGTATTCAATATGCCTCAGAACAGTGTTGTCACTGAACAAAGGAACATCTTACACGAAAATAGGAACATGTTCTTGCTACAAGTACAGAAACTTTTCTGACTTTCAGCCCCAAAACCTCACACTGGGAATGTGACAGAAAAGTTTGGTTCTTTCTGGCTAAGACAGTTAAATAAATCAGGATGATATGATTATTTGTTAATTATTTTTTTTTTCACACAGTTAAACAGATCTATTCAACTAGATGCAGTCTGGGGAATTTTCACGTACCATCACTCTTTGGGCTTTATGCCCCATGCTTCCCCACAACAGTACCCACATTTCATGCATTTACAATACAGCTCCTTGACCTTTCTCCTTTTTGGAGACCCCACCTGTCAGATCCAAATGATGCATGGGGGCAAGGAGCAGGAGAGAGGCCACTAGACTATTTGCCAGGGCATGCGACTGCCCAGAAAGGTCTGTACAGAAAGGAGCCCATTAACAATACATTTTTGAGTTGCAGCCTTCAGCAGTGTGTGGGTGCATCAGGAGTCCAGCACAACACAGGAGCTGGAATGTCAGAGACAGACATCCCAGGAAAGGCGAGGAGTCTGAGAAGTGCACCTGTACAAAAACTACTGATTTGTTCCAATTGCATGTCCTGACTACAAAATTTTGAAATTTTATCTTTTAAAATTTATTTCACTGCTCCTTTATTCATTCTGAAATCTTAATGACTGAGTCTGCTCTTAGCCCTTTTTTTAAAATGCTTTGCTCCATTAAAAGAAAAGAAACCCTGCTCCCCCACACTAATATTGACTCACAAGGCAGCAAAACAAGATGCTGTAGTCAAGCTTGGACAGGCATAAACAGTGCTGAATTGTTTGTGCAGAGTACCTTACAGAAGATGACTGAGTTTTGAAACCACAACACATTTTGGAAATTCAATATGACTTCAAATTAAAAATAATATGGCATCTTGGAAAGTAGGCAAAAACAATGAGGTTACACCAATAGCTTTATCTCTAACATTTCAATTTTCTCAGAAGCGCCATAAAACTTAGAGGCACCACTATCCGCCAATAATACAGATGTTAATTTAATTAGTGCCTTCAGGAATTAAGAATACAATTTATCAGACTCACCTATTCTTAATCTTTCAGATACTGCATGATCTTGCATAACATAAACCACCTGTACTTGTATTTTTATCATTTATGTCAAGTAGTCTAGCTTTCTCTACAGTCACGCTCAGTCTACAGACTTTTTTTTTTTAAAAAAAAAAAAAACGTTTTGTGAACCACAACAAAACATACATGTTGTGGCTTTTTTCACCACATTCTGAAGGCTTACGTATGCCAGTATCTAAAAGAACAGCTACAGAGCCAGCTTGTGTCTGCTTATACAACTTCTCTAGGCTTTTATCCTTAAAATTACAGGACTTAAAAGAGCCAAGTTTAGCACACTGACGACGGATCAACACTTTGTAACACAAGCACGCGTTATAAAACTTTTGCTCTGTAATTCGTATTTTCTAAAAACCCCACACACAGCCAAGAAGAATACTTCTTTAAGACATTAAGTGTATTTTGAATGAAAATATATTCCAGATCAGTCCTCAGTTAAACAATGGCTGTGTCTCATGTTGTAAGGTGAAGGGTAAAATTAGGATAATAACAGTGCAGAAACAGACTTAGCTCTTTGGGTGCCTGACTATGGAGGCACAACTCCAAAACCCAAACATACAACTCAAACATGGTGACATTTTCCAACAAATTAATATCTGAATTGGTAGGGTATCCATGAAAACCTTATTAAAAATTAGTTCTCTCTTTTAATAAATAACTGGTTTTAAAACACTTGAAGAGACGCAAAGTAGTGCTGACATGTTTTGGTCTTTTTTGCAGGTTTACATCCATTCTTTCTGAGACTGCCCTGTTTCCCCCATGAAAATAAGGACATAATACTCACATAAGGAATGGGTCTTTGAAATGACTGATTTCTTCCAAACATTCAAGTTTGTTTGCCCAACATTTTAAGTAAAATTCTAACTTAGTCTAAGAGATAACATTTACATTTTAGAGTAGTAGATTTACTTCAGTCAAAGCCTAGCAGGCAGAAGGGAAATAGAAGTCTACCCAAAACTGGAATTCTTAACAGCGTAGAGGTGAATATCCATCTGATGATGCACTGGGACAGGGAGGTATTTGATCTATCAATGACTCAAAACAGAGAAATGGTTTCTGGCAATAGAACAAAGGTTCCTACCTTTCAAACAAAAATTCCGACCTTTCAAACATTCCTACCTTTGCTTTGGATGACAAGCCACGTAAGTTGAGTCGGGCTGAGGAAAGTATCTGCAAAGCTTCCTGATGATTAGATTTATTCTTGCTGCATTTTATAGCCACTAGAATCCAAACACAGAAGAAAAGGACCCGAAAACAACAAAGCATTACATCTATAGCAATAATCTTTAAACAACAGTTACTCACAAATCTTGATACCTCCCATAGACAATTTTAAAATGTAATATCCCCAAAAAGAAACACAAAGAAAAAGAATGCCAAGTAATTTTGACTCCAAACCCAACAGCTATATGTATCTGTAAGTACCACAGCACAGTGCATACTCTAAGTCTGTTTTGTCCATCTCTTTACTTGCACAGTCAATCAAAATTATGTGATGATTTGAGGACTGAGATAAACTATAGATGCATTTTCACTTGCATTATGAAATTGCTAGACCATTAAATTAATTGATTCCATGTTTACCAATCATATGTTTACTGACTTACCCAGCACAATTTCTGCCTCACTCCAAGTATATTTTTGTATGCACTATCAGGATAGTGCTCTCTGTTAGAGGACTCCCAATAGTAGGAAGAAATATAATGGGTAAAGTATAATATTATTTTGTTACTAAGCTTAATAAATATTTGCTATGGTCTTCATAAATAATAAAAGTTCTTTTCAGATAGAACATACCATGTGCAATCTCTATGGCTCCTTTCACCACTTTCTTAAAAGAAGAGACATCTTTTTCCCAATCACTTGATTGAATTTCACATTTATATGCCTTAGTGAGATACTGCAGTGACTGCAAGGAGGAAAAAAAAATCATCAGTATGTGAGAAAACAAATTAGGAGACTAAATTAGTTTGAAGTATCTATGAAATTAATGCTCAATCTGGAAGATGAATATATCTTTACTGTGCCTGATTTCCTGTGAGTTGGAGTAGTGTCCTTCTCTGCAGCAGTAAGCACCAGCTGTAACACAGATGTTCTTCCCCAATATTGCATCTCAAGTATGAGAGGCATATAAAGTAACATGTGTCTAATTTTTATCTTTTAAAAATCTGTCTAGGCTGATGGATGTGACCCATGTTTGCCAAGTCATCATAATTAAATGCACATGAAAAAGGGAAAAATACTTGTAGTCACACTTTGAACAGCAATTTTGTACCTAGAAAAATCTATAACCGAATACATCGCAGATTTCTGTATAGGTATTCTTGGTGAATAATGTATTTTACAGACGCAGCTATTAGCTGCCATACTGCTCTGGTTCTCAGTGTGAACACGAAAAATAAATGTAAACAATATGGAAAGCAGCTCTCATTCAGAAAAACAAACATGAAAAATTTAAGCAGAAGAAATTAATTTTTGCTTTTGAGTTTTATTTTCTTTTTACAGCATCAGAAATATGAAAAAATTACATGCCAGAAGCTACATAGCTCGGTTCAATGACAACTCTTCAATTATCTTTTTTAAGAGTTAAATATCATACAAACGAATAAAGAACTTTCAGTGAGGCACATGCACGTGAGTGCAATAAAGACTTCTGACTGCTGAACAAAGACAGATTAAATCTGGGGGTCATCACCCCAGAAGCTTCTACCTTCTGTCTCCTACCAGAGTTCCAATCACTATTGCACAGGCAACTGAACTGCTCACGCTGCTGTAAATCACAGCAAAGGTTTATTAAGTCAAACAAAAGCAAATTTTTTTTTTTCCATAATAACCCAGCTTATAATTGGTAGTAGTTCTGGCCAGCAGAGGCGAGAATTTCCAAGAGAAGGAGCAACAGCTTTTACAGCAGTCTGATTTCAGTCTGCACGTGTCTGAGTAAGAGCTGCAAATTAGAGATGGGGGTGGTTTGCTGACAGATGTCAGGGAGGGGAAAGAATTCAAAGTCTTGTGGGCTGTTTGTTTGCACTTCTGGAACCTGGAAGGAAACAGTTATGAGCTGGGGAAAGTTCAAGGAACAGAAGGGTTTCATAGCCTGGGTATGGATTAGCAGGAAACTTGAAGGTTGGAAAGATTTGTCGGTGGGAAAGGGGTGGACTGGACTGCATTCAGCATAGGAAAGAATGAAGTACTGAATGAGGTGGCAGGTCAGATACATAAAAATGTAAGAGTAAATATATGCTATGCTAAAGAAAAAAACCCACAAACCCAACAATTCAATAGTTTTACACTCCTAACTGGTAAACCCTGTCTGCCTGATCCAATTTACAAAGCACTGTTGTGAATTGTAACTGAAGACTCCAGTGATTCATGGCATCAGACATGGCAGTAGGGCAGAGAGGTAAAAAACCCCCAACAACCAACCCACCCTTTACGATAGGCAGACAAACAAGGTTGCTCTTTTGAATGCAAAGTTAGGAACAAAATTGTTTAAATACAATTAAATCTGCACTAAATAAGGTATTACATTATGGAATAAAGGATCAAACTCTACATTTGTAAGGAAGTACATGACAATATGGCAGATCTGTTCCCATCTCTTTGCCCTATGATGCCACAATATAGTAAATAATGCCCTTTCCAAATTCATGGACCTTTTGCATAATAAACGTGGGTGGGAAACTACAACAATGCATCTGGAATTTTTCTACAGATAGTTATATTCACTTAATATTTGACTGACACATGATGATGTTTGTGGCAGTGAAGTCAATGAACATGGTTTTTAACATTTTTACTTTATAATCTATCAGAAAAGTTACCAGATTATCTAGTGTATTATAAATTAATTTTTACACTGTAAATTAATATATACTGTGGTTGTAGGCAGTTCAGCTCTTTCATGATCTGTATCTATGGTACCACCATACCAGGATACTTGGATACACATGTAAGCGTACCTTAAGTATTTATAAACATAATTCCATTTTGCAGGGCAAGCTAGACTGTAAGTGTGTTCCATAACCAGGCTGATTAGGAAACACAGTTAAAGTCCTGTCTACTCTTCAAATTGAAACCATGTTTTTAACTGGGTTAGTAAAAAATACTGTGATGTAACCAGATTCTGAAAAGATTACATTTATAGTATAGACAGGGCCTCTGCTACTTTGCATGTCTGAGTAAGATTTTGAGGATATAATACAGGATATTGCAGTGTCTGTATTTATGAATTCTAAATAGGCCAAATCCCTTTTATTGTTCAGCTGTAAAGAAAAATAGGGAAGGAAAAAAGGGAGGGACTGGAGGTATAATGGACACTGGCAATGACTAAAACAAGACATTTCACAGGGCAGACCATAAAGAGGAAGGCAATGAGCAAGGTCCAAATAACTGTAAGTTTAACCCCACAGGCATACAATTTGTAGGCCCAACTACGTGCACAATATGCTTGACATCAAGCGACAAGCAATCCTCCAGACTGACATTTTTGCCTGGATTAAAGGCACACTCCCATTAGGAAACACATACTGAATGCTGACCTTGTGTCTTTTCAGCTTCAGTGAAGATCTGATAACCTGTAAGTATTTTTGGAGCATGCAGGGCTTTTTGAATTTTGGAAATTTAAAACCAAATGGAAAGCCCGCTCCAGCATACAACAAGAAAACATTTCTAGCGGTGCAGAGTTGTTATTTTGGAAATGCAATCTACTTGATTATGTGGGAAGTGATAGGAACAAGATATGGAAGTCAACGTAGCAAAACCAGAGATGGGTAAAGAGAAACCAACAGGGTTCAACAGATGAAGAATTAAAATAGCATTGTTTAATTCCATTTTAAGCTAAGTGAGAACAAAACACTTTTACTCTGGAAACTCTTAACTGTGGTATAGACTATTTAAATGCATTTTCTCTTAGTGTTTGCAAAGAAGGGTATAAATGGTTCGTGATACTACTGGATCATGCCAGAAGCTGCAATATCTTCTCTTCAGAATCGAAGAATCCAATTAAAAAAAAACCACAAACCAAGACAAAAAAACATTAGATTACGGCCACAAGATTGCTGCCAAGAGAAGTTTCAGAATACAAATCCAAGACAATGCACACATATGCTGTAATAGGATGTTTTAAAATGAAATACTGATAAAAGAGAGAGCTTTTTTGAAAATCCACAAAAACTGACATAAAACATCTTGCTTCTGTTAGATAATAAAAATGTGTGCTGTAGGAAGATGAAAAGCAGAAGATAAGCTTATAGAAACACTAAAGCAAAACACGTCTGCAACAAGAGCATGTCTTACTACAGTAGTATAGTTTGTTAGAGAACAGAAAATTTGTACCGTAAGTGTGTATCCATAAAAGCATATACCTCAAAACACACTTACCTTTTCAATTTCTTCACCACTATCATTCTGTCCATTTCCATAAAGTCGGGCATAAAGTCTCCAGATCTCCCCATCGTTTGTCACTCGTGAAGTCACTCTGCCCAAGAGCTCTTGCAATTTCCCCTTCAATCCACTCGCTACCTCTCCAGTGCGATCTGCCATACCATCCACTACTGCCCTGACCAGAATAGTCAGCACCTTAAAAAAGCAGCAGGAAAGAGTCTTTATTTCAACTCAAATCAACACCAGTATATATAATGATATCTGTAATATTTGGTCTCTATTAATAATTCAGTAAAACACAAATATAGTACCATATGAAAAGTATAGAATTTACTAAGAAATCAAGCATTAGGGGAGTAATTAAAGTAATTTAAACCTCATCTGTAAGATTCTATAGTTGGTCAAGAGGCCAAAGAGCTAAGACAGAAATTTGGGTTACTGGGACAGGCTAGTGTGAAAAATAATGGTATAGGAAATGGCAGCAGTATCATAAAGATATTTTCACCTTGTAATCCAGTGATAAAAAAAAAAATCAGTAAACAGGCTGAACCAGATTAACTCAGGTAACGGAAAACACTGTTGTTCACAGGACCTCTATTCAATTATCTGCAGAAACTGAAAGATGTGTAGTGGATGAGATGGAAAAGTGGAAGGCAACCGAATACCACCCTGAGATACTCTGTTCAACGCGCTTCTGGTGAATTACTACTCAAGTCATTTCAATCAAACATTTTACAAGTACTCATTTAATCGCCTTACTTTCTGAGTCACTGGCTTGAGAATGTGGGATCTGACCTGCAGAAGTGCTGAGCGCTGCAGCTGCTGGTGAATTCAATGGTAGTTGGGCTTTGATTGTATGAAATGCTACATAATACCAAGTGTCCCAAAACGGACACTCAAAATTAGAAAACGGTTCCGCTGTGCCTCAGTCCCTTCTCAGTAAAAGGAGAAATAGCAAATGTAAATTAAGACGTTGGATTATACGGTGAATTGGGAGAAAATAAAACCCAGAAAGCTGTAGCTTCTTAAGTGAGAACTACCTGTCCTGTGTAATGCATGAGGCCCAGAGACTGGAGAAGAAATAAAGATAAAAACAAATGGCAGTCTCATAAGGCTTGCATTCAAGATAGGCCAGTAAAAGGTATACAAACACCTTCATGCTGACATCTCCTAACTGGTGAGACTATCATTTGGCAACTTGAATGCTTCAACACTTTTGTCCACGTGATATCAATACTTACAATGAAATCATATTAACAGCAATAACAGTAATAAAACTGATTTCAAAGATGATCTGTGAATAGCTCCAAATCACACAAATATACCACTACTCTAGTAAAAGTAGGGCAGAGGTGCAGCCTCACAAATCAAGATGTAGTTCACTGCAGAAAATAATGTAAAAATTATGACAGTCTCAAAATATATTAGGCTTAAAATAAAAACCCATGCAGTTCAATATTTGTGATAGGTCATTTTCCTAAAACAACTTTTCTTCTTTAGAATGACTCGATTACCATGCATCCCAAGAATTAATTACTGAGTTTTATCAGATATAGTAAGGCTTTGGCAAAAAAACCCCAAATAAATCAAAATGTCTGATGATGTTATGAAACAAAGCTATGTAACAGAAAAAGTGAAAAAAAATTGCACATCTCCCTGGCATCTTGTCAGAATCAATACAAAATCATAGTAGCATCTGAGCAACAGCTAAAGAGCACCCTCCTGCCCCGAAAACCATAAGAGTATAGCCCTAATAAAGTGATATGGCAAACTGTCTTTTCTCTTTCCTCTTTCCTTTCTCCTTTCTCCCTTCCCCTTTCCTTTCTCCTTTCTCCCTTCCCTTCCCCTTTCCTTTCTCCTTTCTCCCTTCCTCTTTCCTTTCTCCTTTCTCTCTTGCCCTCTCCTTTCTCCTTTCTCCTTTCCCCTCTCCTTTCCTCTTTCCCCTTTCCTCTCTCCTTTCCTTTCCTCTCTCCTTTCCTCTCTCCTCTCTCTCCTTTCCTTTCCTCTCTCCTTTCCTCTCTCCTTTCCTTTCCCCTTTCCTTTCTCTTTTCTTTTCCTTTCCTTTCCCCTTTCCTCTTTCCTTTCCCCTTTCCTCTTTCCTTTCCCGTTTTCTTTCCTTTCTCCTTTCCTTTCCTTTCTCCTTTCCTTTCCTTTCTCCTTTCCTTTCCTTTCTCCTTTCCTGTTTCCTTTCCTTTTTCATTTCCTTTTCCCCTTCCTTTTCTGTTAAAGAGCTCAGCTTTTCACTTAAGATAATAGAAAATATGATCAACTACTAACAGTCCAAAAGTTCTGAAATTCATACCGCAGTCTTCATTTGGAATCTAAAGGACTAAAACCCAGGACTAAATGAATCAGGTCTTCTATAATGATTTGCTACAAAAACACTAGCAAGTATTGATATTTTCATTACTATAGCACTGTAATAGAAAAACATAAAAAAAGAGGTGTAAGAAGAGATATTAAACTATTTTCTCTTTTGAAAAGGAACTAGAACTGGTCCTGAGGATTCACACATGTATTTATGACTTGACAATCAGTTTCTCAGTTCAACAATATTGTTACTTGAAGTCCAAAAAATTAGTACACATGAATATCATGTATAGTTATCAAGAGTTCTATAGCCAATGATATTTTGTTTGCCCATGAAAAAGAAAACATTTCCTGACTGAGCAGGATTTAGCAACTGAAAAGTTACTCCTATAGAGTTCACGCTTTTCTTACACTTTCATCATAATAATATATCTCATTTTTTTGTAATTCATCATGGAAGCTTTAGCAATATAGCAGTAAAAATAAAACTAGTGTGAAAGCCTGGATTAAAGGGTCCATTAAACACTAATGAATCATTAACATGACTTGGCTGTGCCCAGCTGTTAAATAAAGTTATTTCAAATTGCAAGTGCATTGTGCTAATCGTCAAAAAGTATTAGCAGTGTAACAGAGCTTTCTGTTTTGGATGGTTGTCTTAAGTGATAAATTTTAATTTATGTATTTGAAAGATTTTTAACTACCATATATACTAAACTACTAAAGCAATGCTCTGTTGCCCAGGATCCCACACAAGCAGTAGAGCTTTTTTTTTTTTTAATGCCTGTGAATAGTATGTGTTTATTAAAAACTAAACAAAAAACACCATGCGACAAAACATTTTAAAATGCTGTGATTGCTATCAGTTAATCTCATTTCACATTTTTTCTCCAAACAACTCCTTTAATATAAAAATTCACTAGTCAAATCATTTTTAGAAGCTTTACTAACACTAATCAAACTTGACAGCACTCAAGAAAAGAACCCTCAGACACCAGATCCTAAACAATGAATCTGCAATGTATGAGCTCTCCCTATGCCCCTCCCGAATTAAAATTTTATAATAAAGACAAGTGTCATTAGTGAGCTGCTTAAAAGAAAAAGGCCTCCAAAAAGTATTAACTCCTATCCCTGCTCCTCAAAAATCCCCTTGGAACACACTCTTACACCCTTTTATTAGAACCAGTCTGGCAACACGAACCACTGAAATGAGGACGATATTTGCTGGAAAGGGTAACAAAAAAACTTTGCTAGATTCTCAAGAACACAGAATTGGAGAGAAGAACCAGTTGTCCATGCTTCTGAATTCATATTCTTTGACAGCACAGGATGAAGATCTGGTTTCTGAAAACAATGTAGCAAAAGAGCTTTCCCCTCCCCCCAAAAAATAACTTTGTTATTCACAGAACTGCAACTTTCCAGGCAACAAAGATTGCTTGCCTTGCCAAACATGAAGGTGGTGCAAAATACCGTGGTTATCAGTTGCAGAAATCTTTCAGGTATATTTACCACCTCAGCCTAATAATTCAGAGGCTAAACTGATGATTACAACAGGTAAGGTTTTCTCCTTGGGTCTTTTTTAATGACTGATCTACTAGATGAAACTGTAGATATTTCAGTGAGCCTTTATCTTTTACTACATAATATCTATATTAAAAGTTTTCAAGGTTTATTTCTCAGTAGATTCATGCACATTAAAAGGAATACGGAAATTTTAAGAACCATGAAGGAAGGAATGCAAGAAAGACAGTATGCTTATAACATTTAAGGGGAATACTAGGAAACTGAGACTTTAAAAAATGTGCTCTTTGCTGTAATTTTTTATTGCGTTGTTGCTCATTTACAAAAAGCCCTTCAGCTTCTCCTTGTTCAATTCTGTCTGCGTAATCTGTACATACATATCTTCAAGCCTCAGGATAGCCTGATCTCAGAACCTCTGCCACAAGGATGACATCGTTAAATAACTAGAATAGCTTAGAAGCAAAATTTCCCAAAGCTGCATTCTGCACTCAGAAGTCTGGCACAAAAAGACAGCAATGACCTAAGAGAAATCACAGATGAAGAAATGAATGCCTTACTGTTATTAGAAGAAATTAGTGATTTATGAATATGACTGCATACTATGCTGAAATAAAATAAAAAAAATCTGATGTAACTACACAAACCAAGGACATTTCAAATTATATATTCGATCGAACACTCTTAACTGATGCATTCAGTCTCAAAAGGGGTATTCTGCAACAACGATTGTACTAAAAGTGATTTGCTTTCTGTGTTCACAAAGAACTGCAATCAATGAATCAACTTGTTTCTTCCAGTCCCGTGCATCTTTATTTTTCTGGAGTTCTAAATTCCTACCTTCTTTCTCACCACTATGTCATCTAGTTTAGTAGTCTATCAGTTACAGAATACGATGACTACAAATACTAAATATAGCCTGAGAGAAGATCATACTATGTTGCATGGAGAAACAGGTGTATGCTTCCACTTACTTATGTTCACGATTTTTCTTTGTTAAAATATAAATGCACAAGAGGGTTATAGAGCATCTCTATTTAAAACAGGCCCGTTGGCAAGCTCAGAAATTAATGGTGAGCTTTGTAAATAATCTCAGCAGAAGCTTTTAGTTTTATGTCCTTTCTTCCATTTTGCTATGGGAATACTCTTCTCTTCCTTGTAAAATTATTGATTAAAGCATTTCTGAAAGTCTTTAATCAGGCTCTGAGGTTTTTCTTGGCCAACTAGTACAATCCTTCCAATTGAGGAAACTGTATTAGAGGTTTGATGAATCCCATAAAGCACTTTACATATCAGAAGGCAAAGTTGAAATTAGGGTGCAAAAAAAAAAAAAAGGATACACAGCGCATATATACTTCTGCAAAAATGATAACGTATGATTAAAAGTTGTATGAGAAGAGTTACACAACAAAAATAGAAATTTAGTGCGAGCAATATCCCCAATTTTTTTAATAAAATATCTTACATAAAATTTGACAAAACACAGTAATAGGGGTCCATATCATCTCAAAATATCTAAAATGGACAAATACATGTAGAAAGTTCTATTCTTGGTCAGCTGTCACACTGTCTAAAATAATACGGTACACCACCTCTAAAAATGTTATTTAAATTACATGAAATGAAAAAAAAAGTCATTAAGAAAGGTCAACCATCTGCAAGACGTTCCATGACTAAAAATACAGGCCCTACCTGTATCAAAATACTGTAGCTGTCAAACACACTAATCTTTACCATATTATAAGACTACTTCCCATAGACACTTTTGAGTGCAAAGAGTTTGTGACCTTTTAATGTTCAGCCACATCAAATCCAAAAGATTTGATTCATACAGTATGTTATCCTGCGCATGGTTGACTTTATAGTAGTAAGTATTGTACTTGCATACAGTTTGTTATTAAAAAGTAATCTGAAAAAAGTTTTTAACATCCCCACCCTCCATGAACAAATGAGATGTTTCCACAATCATAATTCATTCTATCTGTTCTCTCCCCTCATCACTGGACTCAAACTCTCAGGATCCAAGAAAGCTACTTTTAATCATTTCATGGGATAAGAAAAGAAACATAAACCTGGGATGAATGACCAGCAGCAGCTCGGTCCTCTTGCTCTGGTACTACACATGAACTCCCAAAGAGCTCATAAGCTGTTCAACCAGATCCATTAATTTTGCAAAGTCTTTTGGAGGTGTTTCACTACTTTGCTTAAGGGATTCTTTGGCTTGCCTTTCAGATTCAACTTGCTATTTTCACTGAGTATACAGAACATTGCTTGGATCAGGAGCTGGTTTTAGGCAAGGCAACATCCCAGCTGAAGCTGTTAAAGTAGGCTCTCTGGATTTTATCCAGAGCATACACTTACAAACACACAAGTTAAATGAACTTAACTGAACTACAGTGAAAGATGTGCAAAATACCTCCTTTCTTTTCCTTTGTTCCAGATTATTAAGAATCTATGTTCTGACTGTAATGCATCCAATCTAGGAAACATAATTCACTTTCAAAGGCTCATTTGTGGAATTTTAAAACACATGGGAAAAGCTTACCTTTCTAATCACTAAATATATTATTTCTGATACTAAGATATGAAGGAACAATATGGAAAGATGGGGTTATGCATTGTGTTTTATTTAAGAATAGATCTTAAAATTGCAAGGCTCATATTTGCCCTTCCACAAAGTCTAAGGTAATCTGGATGCAAAAGTTTTCCTTTTTGTCCATTTTTATTTCATATATTTAGTTTTGCAGTCCAGATCTCAAAAAATTAAATAGCTTGCCTACATAACTTCACTGGTATGTGTACTATCATTACTGATACCATTATCAGCAGAAATGGCTTTCCGTCTCACAAGAAAAATTCATGAACACATACAATGACTTAACACGAAAACTTCCCCACCTGTGTATCCTTGTACTTTTCTTTTAAGTCCATGAGCCGGTGATAAGCTTTAATTGCTTCTGAAAATTCTCCAATATCTGTACTGGTGAGAAGATAGTTCTCCCATATTTGCCAGTGCTCATAGTTGCACTTGAGAGCTTCTTGGAGTGTTCGAAATGCTTTGATTCTAATTGATAATGAAAAATTAAAAAAGATTCTATATTGAAGATTTAATATAGAAGATTTCTGTATTCAAATCAGTTGGCATTACATCGACTAAAGAGCTGCTTATTTAAAAAAAACCCACCTGTTTAGAAAGCAGTGCAATGTAAAAGTTATGGTTCATAATACACAATACTGATAATTCCTTAATCTCTCTTGCCAATTAGTTCATTCCTATCAATTCATTCCACAGTACGTTCTGTAGATTCTGAACTAGGTAATTTCTACGTTAGCTCTCATAATTAAATTTCGACAAAAAATCATTATAATTGTGTCATCTATGTCAATATTTTCTTTTCTGAATTTTTAACTGGAACCACAAAAAACAATCTTACTTGTGCTGCAGCTGTAAGAAACATTAAAAAATCAAAAACTCAACCTCACAACTGAAAAGAATGTATTTTTCACAACTGAGTTCATGGCATATGCAGAATAGTACTGACTCATTTCATCACACAAAGGAAGGTTACTTAACAATAACAGCTTCATGGGATTTATTTTAAACATTTGCACATGGTAAACACGCATATCTATTGCACAGAAGCCTAGCATTTTCAATCATTTTTTTCTATGTCAGCTGGAAGCTTTACTTACACTCTCTGTTCTTTGATGCTACGCTGCTCAGTACAAATGTGTCAGAGTGGCCCCAACCACTATATTAGTGTCCATCACCAAAGGTGCTGCCCAGTGAACCATCTCATAGTAGCAGGAGAAAGTGTTGTGGAATAAGGTGGACAGAATAATTCCTAGAAAGTCACTGTCAAGTCAGGAAGCATGTTTATTTTTTCATATGGATCCACTGCAGGCAACTCTTTGCCATTCCCTTACTCAAGGAGAGAAGCAATGGCATTCTCTGGCAAGGAACATAAGACAGTTTATCCAAATCAAGAATATAGGCTGACCTACAGTTTACAGAGGTACGATGACTTCGTACAGAACATGCGACCAATGCTGCCAAAAGTGGAGGCCGAAGGAGTAAGAGGTCTTAATGCCATCTGAAACGTATGGTGGTAAAGTTTGGGTGCCTACTGATCAAAATTTTAAACGTACTGCCAAAAGTTTCAATCAATTTTAAATTTTAAAAGAAGCTTTACTAGAGAAGCAGAATGATATGGTTCTTAGGACTTCAAGGGACTGAAGCTTATTTTCAGCTGGATAGTCATGATTATGTAGAAAAAACACACAAAGGAATAAATTCCTTTAAATGAAAACTTGAAACAGAGTTTTCCCATGCTGGTAAAAATCATCTTTGGAGAGGTATGACAATAAATATCTTCTTAATAAAGAGCGTATGAAGATGGCTTGGTACCAAAATTTGCAGTTCACTTGCTCTATTGCTTAAGTAAGTTGCTAAAAGTTCTGTCTCTAAAGAAAGACAACTCAAAGAAATTGTTGGTTGAGTTTCAAAAAGAGTGTCCAGGAGACTGTAAATATCCCAGCCAGGAGAAGGGAATATCTAACCAGTGGATCAGGCCGTTAAAAGTTTGGAATGGCTGGGTCAGTGAAAAATGTAAATACCTGCCAATCTAAGTCCGAAGTATTAAAATAGTTACCAAATACAAACGAAGAGAGCTGACTGACAGAGCAAAATTATTGAAGGAAAACAGGTCATTTGGCATAGCTAGGGCAGAATAGTCCACAGGCAGGATTTTCCCATGTTCACTCCCCTTTTTTCTCTCTTCTGATATACATGACACTGCAGAGTAAATGTACTAACAGTTGGGTCTCTTCCACTCTTAACAGTCTTAGTAAGGGATTTCAGACCTTGATTTTGACAGATTATATTAGAAAAGAACAGAGACCTGCTCCTTCCTCCGTGGATTTTGCTACAACAGAAACTGAGATCTGCCACAGCTCTCTTACAGGCTGGAAGACGCTCTGGCTGACTCATGTACTCCAACCACCTTGAGAAACTGTTTCTGAAACTGCTCTTCGACATCTGCATGATTAGCCTGTACGATCTGCCCCATCTTCTCAAAAAGGTTAATCAGATGTCAATCAGCTAGAACTGTGTAAAGTAGACAAGATACAGAGGGATGGGATGGAAATTGTATTCCTCAAATCATCACACTTGCTATGTTAATAAAGTCCTCTAGGTTCTCAAAACAAATCCTCTGTGTATTTAAAAAATTATATAATGATGGTGTATCTTTAACCAGGGCAACAGTTAAACCAATTCATATCCAAACAGGAAACAGCAGGCAGTACCAGTGCATCATCCTGTTTTGCAAAACCAGGAATCCTTCACCTAAAGGAGAGAGGGGCAGTCCCAGTTTGTTCTGAGAAATACGAGATCTAGATATCAAAGGTCTCCTGGCGCTCAGAGAAGATTTTCTGGTTAAAAGAAGAGCAGGGCCTGTTTTCATCACAATTAATTTTTTTTGAGGAAATTCAGAATACACAGAACTTGTGGACTCTTAAAAAGCAAACAACCCCAAAAAACAACGAAACTCCTTTCATTTGGGTGTCAGCAAGTTGTTTGCATATACTTTTCAAAAAGACTTAGACGTTTTATACTCGTCTGTTGTATGAGACTCTGCTAAGCCTTACTCAAACGCATAATCCTTGGGAGGGACTGTTTTAAGAGCGTAGTTGGAGCAAAGCTTGAGTTTGATGAGGGAGCAAAAGACAACAGTTAACTTAAATATCTTATTTTTGTTTTCCTTTTTTTAATCCTCCCTTCACTTTTTTTTTTTTGGCTAGCAGGCTTGAAAAACAAAAATGTACACTTGTACCACCACTCAGCACACCCCAAATAAATTATAGTGAAGAGTACTACTACAGGTAGCCTGCTTTGAGAGTGTGTTAAACTAACTCAGTCTTGATCTATAAGTGATTATGCAAATAACCAAAGAAGTTGCTACTCCCCAGCAAATAAAGGCCACACTCTGCTATCAGCATGTAATACTGGCTTAAGATTTCCTGTACACACATTCCTCTACCACGTGATTCCTCTGGAAAAAAAAGCTCAGAAACATGCCCCAATTTACTGCTTTTGATATAGTATCAAATAGGATACAAGTTTTGCATGTATTTAGCATGTTAAATCACAAGAGTAGATTAACAAAGTGAAACTAATCATCAGTAGTTTCTCAATCTTGTAGTAGATGAACGGACGGAACAATTATTTTGATTAAATATACTTTTATGAAACAAGCGGAAGCCAGTACGCTGAGCTTCTGACATACCCTTTTGAACTTTATGCAAAAGAAGGAGCCATCTATCACATGCAGTCTAAGACAATAAATTGGGCATTCTCAAGGCACTGCTGAAGATGAAAGGAACTATTGAAAAATTAAAAAAAAAAAATCTTGATTTCTATTACTTTTTATTCGTGAGTAGTTATTCTAAGCTTCATTCCAACCTTCATTTTCTCTTCCCTCCTGCGCCCATTAGCATATCAAACCACCTCTTGAATTAATTTATAATATTACTTCCCAAATTTCCTTCGTATGTTTATCAGTTTACCCTTTTATGTAAATTTACTATTCTTTTTCTCTTTTTTAGTTTGCCTCCTGACTGCCTAGTCGTATAAATTGATGTCAGATATTGAGTGAGGTTTTAAAAAATTTATCATACTCTTTTGTTTCATCTTTTGGGACAAGTTATAACATCAAAATTTTTCTTAAATATTAAGTTCTTTCAAGTATTCTGTGCCTACGAGGAACTTTTATTACATTGAGTTGAAATACAGAACAAGAAAGGCAGTCCATTGAGGTCAAAGCTTCTTGTACTAATGGTTAATTTGGAGGGAAAAGAACAAGCGAGCTATTATGTGTGTAGATGTCCATCTGCTTTCGTAACATAAAAAATAAACTGCCTGGTTTTCCCTTAAATCTAATGAGATTAATGTAGTATGAAGTGACATAGGTCTGAATATATAGTTTACTTGAAATGGACTTACCTATTCAACGTCATAGTCACATCAGTTTCCAACTTTAATATGAATGTTTTGCACTGGTTGTACTTACTACATCATAAATACTTCTAATATGAAAAAAGTGTAAGGTGAGAGGTTGCTGCTTTTATAAAGCTTATAAAACTATTTCCTGCAAAATGAAATAAGTTATCAATGATCCAACTTGGGAGAGAGAACTGAAGGGATAAGAATTACAAAATATGAGGTAACCTGATTATAAGAATAAAAAATTCCATGTCAAAAAAAGGAAATCCCAATTACATATTTTAGAAGAAGTATCTGCTAATCCTTTTCAAGTACTTACTTCTGTTTTAATCTGATATAAGCAGTTGATAAATTGTTCCAGGCCTCAGCATTCTGTAACGATAAAAGGAGAAATAAAAAAAAATAATTCACTTATATTATGCTTACTTCATAAAAATATGTAGATAAAACTACAGTGAAATATCATCAATTTTATTAGTCACGCATATTAACATGTACCTTCTACAAGGCAGTCAAAAGATTACATTGAAATAGAAAATATGATATTAAAATAGAAATATATAAATAAATATTACTGACTACAGAAATAATCAGGTATATAAATATCAATTAACTGCCTTCTGGTTGGAATACACTAAGTCAGCTCTTGCCTTCAGTTTAAACTGTAAACAGGCCCCCTTTTCTGGATCTAGCTGGGATGGCTGGAGAGGTCAGTGCTCCCAGCAGCTCATCAATTCTCACTAGCTGGAAGCTACTTACCTGCACTGCTGTTAGTGGAAAAAATTATCTGAATGTGCCCCTAACGCACCTCAGGCAAAACTAACAGGGTTAGTTTCAACAGCGGTTATCAACTGTTTTAGTGGAAAAGGACTACGGAGTGCTCAATACAGGGATGATTGCTGCCCACAGCCTTATGCTGCTGTAAACTTGAAGCTGCACCACTGAATTCAGTGAAGTGACAACTAGTATAAATTTGAAGAACAGAACCTGGGTACTGCAATGAAATGTACTCTGGTACTGAAGACTATCCTCAGGCTTAAGGAGTATTTAAATCATGTTGGGAAACCTTTTTGAGGCTTAATTCATGAAAATGGTCATTACATTGCTGCAGATCATTATATAAACACAGGTTTCACCTCCATAACTAAGAGCCAGACCAGCATCCTTTACTCACAAAAGAAATATCACTTGACTGACTGAGAACTCAGTTGGCTTGTTCATGTGAATACGATCAAGTACAGGCCCCAGACAGATAAGTGAAAATTTTAGCATCTACTTGCAAGTAAATCCACTGAACTGAAACAAAAAAGTATTAATATCTAAAGCAAAAATTCCAGTTAAATACAAGGGTGCCTGCACGTACTTTTTTTTTCCAAGTAAGTTATTTAATTTTATTAATAAAGAAAAAATAATACTCTGCCATCTTTCATTGCACTCCCACTCCTTTCCCCAAGAAAAAAGAATGAATAATAGTTTCCATCAAGTACGTGGCATTAACTCTAAGCGAGCAACATGCTGGCAGTCAGGTCTTTTGACAAAAGTATTGCCAGTACATTCCTGAGAGGTAATCCAGCTGACGCCTTTCAATGCACAGTCACACTCAAATGGCAATACTGTACACATGCTTGCCCCGTGCATCCTGAAAAACCCACTAATGAGCTCCATTCTCCCTGTGCACAGAAACTATATAGTTACAAATTTACCCGTCATACAATCGCTTATTTGACTTGTTTTTTTCAGGAGAATTTGATGACTTAGAGGACTAAGTATTTATTTAAATTTAATTCTTTTGTTTTAGCTCTCTGTCTTCAGCACTGCTCACAGCCTACTCATTCCCTTTTCTCTGGTTTAGCAACATATGCAACCATACAGGAATTTCTGCTCAAATGTATTTTAACATTCGCACACACATACTTGGACAAAGTTAAGTATTGGGCGAGTATTTTTATGATGTCTCATGACAAAAATATACCCTTCATGCACAAGTTTAATTTATTCAAAGGGCTAAGGTTTAAAAAAGTTTTTCATTATTGCTTTGCTTGTTTGTAATGAAAACATCCTTGCTGCTTTTAGATAAGCCATCTGAACCACTTGTTGAAAAGTACATACATCTGGTTCCAATGTCACACAGCGCTGAAATGCTTTGGCAGCACCTTCGTAGCCTTCCAAAGCAATGTATGCACAGCCCAAGGAAAACCATACACCTAGCTGGAGAGAAAAAAAGTGGATGATTACATATACATATACATACATATTTCTGAACAAAAGAAATAATTTCGCTTGGATGCTCAAACACACACACTACTCTTCTTGATTATACCTGATTTGCAGCTATCAAAATAGAATTGCACTGGAATAAATAACATCCCATATGCAGAATAATGGAAAACTTTAGGTTCAAAGTTTTAATAAATATGGATAAACAAAGGTGTTGATAATATAAAGACCACTTAACCATATGTGAAGTGCTCTTTAACAGCACATCTTCATTTAGAGAAGAAACTGATGGCTATTTAGAGGTTTGCATATTTTGCTTTAACTTGTGAAAAATCCACATTCACTTTACAGTATTACAATTGGGTCAAATGGTAAATACTAGGAAACGTATTTCAATGAAATCACATTTTACAAGAAATATTTCTAATGACTGAACACGAACACTTCAAAATTATACCTCTTTCTACAGGTCAGAATATCAATCTTCTCTAGTTGATAATGCAATGTTTAGAGATAGAAATGTACTTAAATAATGCCTTGCGTAGAGAACAGAACTTTACCAGTTCGATAATCTTCCATTGTAAGTCTTCAGTTGTTACAACCAAACACCCACACAGATCCAAATAATATCAGACATAGACATAAATTACAGCAAGTTAATTATATTATCATAGCTCTTCAATAGCAAGTTCCTGATTTGCCGCACAGTTAATTCTCAAAGAGCTGCAAGTTAAGCAGTACTACCCTTTAGGAAATCTCTATAATTCAGAAAAGTATTAAATCTCAAGTACATTCATAGAATATTTTCTGACAGCATTATGCTGTTTAAATGCACACAGTCAAAATCAAACAGAACATTTTATAATGTGCTGCAAAATCATTCCAGGTAGTACTACCTACTGCAATAAGCTCAGCCATTTCTCCATTCTAAATGCCAAGGTAAGAAACATAAATAGGTTTTTTTTTTAAATTTTTTCAGAAAAAGGTTGGGAAGAGGAAGATGGAGAAACAGGTTACATTAACTCTAATTTGTGTTGTACAACAACATATTACTTTTCAAGACGTTTGATTAGTCTTTATATCCTCTAGTGTTTTGGGTACCAGTTTTGAAGCAAGCAATTCTGATACCTCAGGTTCTTCATAGGAAGCCATAATGGCTATTTAAACACAAAAATGCTACCTTCAGAAACATTTGCAAATCAGGGGTTTTACAGGGTTGAGAATAAAGCTGTTGGTTCATATGCAAGCATCTTCTATCTCTACTGATTAATTGCAACCTCTATAGCAGATATTTTAGCAGTTGTCTCCAGATCAGACTAATTTTCCTGTCTCTGAGACCCAATTTAAAATCAGTAGCAAGATGTTTGCTACAAGTGGAGTAACCTGACTTACTTGCTATAAAGTTCACAGTTAATCTGCTTCAAAACTTAGATCCCAGCATATAAATGTATGATGTTCATCCCTGTCAGATCTGGCACCCTGGTGGGCAGTCTCCATGATACCAAGAAAAGAACTGAACAAACTTGGCAATAAAGATATCTTTTTGCTTTTGGAGGTGTACATGGGATGGCTGATCCTCAGAGCATATGAATGTATTACTAAGTGAAGACAGAACTGCCAATTACATCCAGCCTGGGCAAAAATTAAAATCTACTTTTCAGCATTGTCAGTCTGTCACCTTTCACGATCTTTAAGCTCATCATTCAAAGAAGAAACTGTGCACAAGTTAAAAAACAATGTTTCCCAAATCTCAGAGGGCAAAATTAATAGGAAATAAACATTTAGTCAATCTCATTTTTTAAGTCTCTTTTATCCTTCAAGTTTCCAGAAGTCGAGCACTCCCGCATGGCTACTACCGTGTTAACTCCCCTTTCTTTTCTTTCTAGATCAATAACTTTCTGGACATGAAAAGTAGGGATAGAGATGGGGACTAATCAAGTATGAAACTGAAGGCTAGCTCCAACTCTATGATCAGGATACAGTGTTTCTGTAAAGGGTAGAGAAAAAGAACCATTGCATTTTATAACATTCTAACAAGTAACAGCAGCACAGTCTCACTTCTGAGCTTGTACTTCCAGAATCTGATTGACTACAACTTCCACCATTTTAATTTTTTGAGGCTGATGTTGAGCAGCTACATCTCTCAGGAACTGGCTTACCAATGCCTAAGCTTGTCAACTCCTTTCTCAAGGACAAGTTATGGGAAAAGGAGAAAGTAAAATGATTCTTTACTTCTGTGGAGAAAAGCTGTATTAGCAAGTACCTAGTAAAAATCATACAGTGGCTGCAAAGAATGGTAAATATTTTTATTTTCTTAATAATTTCAAACAAGATATTTTGCCTAGCAGTAACTATGTATGAAGGTTTCAATTGAACAGAAAAAACGTTAGAACTGGACACGATGGAGAAGACTGGGAAAGATGTCCAAAAGGGATCCATTTAGCAGACAAGAAGAGCGAGATGAAAAGTCTCTGGGGTGGAAATTAAGTCAAGGAGCTGAGATGTTATGATATGGAGGCAAAAAGTAAAATGGAATAGGCCATGCAGATGGAAGAATGTTGCTATATGTTAAAGAACACTTCACCATCAATCATATCGAAAATAACTGGGTAAATGAACAACAGAACTAGTACTAGATTAAAATTTCAGGCCTTGGTAAAAGAGCAGTATAAAGATTGCATCTCAGAATACTTGACTAAAATGGAGAAGATAACATACTGGAGAATATCAGAAGGCTGTGAAAGTAGAAATCCCAGAAAATACAGAGAGATTTCAATTATTCAACATAGTTTAGTAAATAACATAATAGATGTAGTTCCAGGGCTAAATTTTTTAGATACAAAGAAGCTAGTCAGAAGACAGTACATACCTCGATCCTGACCAGTATGAATGATCAAGTTCAAAATGTGACCATATAAAAGATACTTTGTAATGTATCTAGATTCACTAGCCCTTGAAGAACAAAGGCAACTAATTTAATTCGGAGGATGTTAAATTTAAGAGCTACTTAAATTCTTTTAAGTATTTAATTAGGAGGATGTTAAATTTAAGAGCTACTTCAAATAGAAAAGCTATGTTAAAAACTAAAAGGAGCAGATAAAAGTCTGCAGACTTGCAACATTTAAAGACACATTTCAAAGCTTGGAGCAACTGCATATTGTCTTTCAAAAAGGCTTTAAAAAAACTAGACAATCACAACAGTTAAAAACGAAATAGATTATTAAGAGGACATACTTTAAAAGCTGGTGTGCCAGGCAAATAAGAAAGCTACAAAAGAACAAGTCTTGACAGGTTAAATGGAAAAACGTGGTAGCTGTGTAAAAAAAAACCACAACCCACCACGAAACAGCAAAAAACCACAACCAAATGAAAAAACAAGGTTCATTGCCTTTGATCTAGTATAGTGATGAAACGCTATTTTATCATCCCTTAGATATCTGGAATTCCTTCCACAATATAAGAAGGACAGTGACTCTTTAATAATATATTTAGGATACAGGTTAAGAATGGACTTAAGCTATTTTCTGTTGAAAGAATGGTAAGAACTCCCTTTTTATTGGGGAGGGCACAAAATCCGCTGATCCCACTGGCTGATGCAACTGCTCTGAGGAAAGTGACTGACTGAAAGGTAATGTAAGGCAAATTTTGTCCAAAGTTCAAAAAAGACTTTTGTCAAGGCTTGAGGAACTAGCTTAAACTTCTTTTTTGGAAATAAAATAAGTGTGTTGGCTAGAGGTTTGAAAGTTGCTACTGATTGGAAAAACATATGAAAATGAGCTGTAAATTTTTATCCTTTTCAAAACCGAAGACAGTGACCAACACGGGAAGACAATTTAGGCTTGGACTCTTTGTTAAAACTTGCCATCAGGAATTTCCAGGCAAGTCTTTACTAAGTCTAAATGATTAAGAAACGCTTTAAGAAAGTCTAAACAATTCTCTCATATTAGTGGGAATATGGTTCCAAAATAACCTAATTACAGTATAGCTGAATACTTAAAAAGGAAAAAAAAAACACCTCCAAATCATATATCTGAAGAAACTTTTTGCATTTTTAAAGCAATTTTCTACTATTGGTATATGGCAAATACATACAGTTTTTTTGGTTTTTGTTTTTTTTTTTTTTTCAGAATCCAGTAAACTCTTTAGTACAATACTCTCAGGAGTACAGCAGTGTTAGTTTAGAAACAATCTATACCCTGCAGAGCAAAATTAGTCTTTGGAGTTAGCAATTACAATAAAATTTTAAGAGCTCTAGTTGAGTGAAATCCTAGCTGAGTACCTTTTAATTACTCATTTTATGGCATCATTTATCTCCCTTATAATTCAGTTTCTTTTGAACACACCACACTGACAGAACATACTACAGTTTTAAGTATAGAGACTTTTATAATCTTTTCCAATGACAGACTCCAGCTCAACTCTTGTTAAAGTCACTTTTACTATTAAAAGATGAATGAGAAGGAGAATTGTGGAGAAAATAAGGCTCTCATTGCATTGTCCAAAATTTTAAATTCCAGATGTAGTTGATGGTAAGCTGACTCCTAAAGTGTAACTGTTTTCCCAAGTTGGAGAGAGATCACTCGTCTTGCTTCACACCCAAGAAAATTAGCCTGAAAAGTTATGAGCCAAATAGTCTAGCACAAAAGAGAATTATTCTTTTCTTGCAGACTGTAACATGGAGGAGAATGATGTGGGCACAAAAAAGGTGTTATTAACACTCTATTTCTGGAAGATTCAAATGTGAAGCAACTGGATATAGAGAACCATACACTGTTCAGCACAAGAAATTACAAATCTGTAATTTAACAAGACGTAAGTTTTGTCACGCAGACTTTCACCGCTGGAGAACTGACTGCATGAGCTCTTTGATCTCTGGAATTGTTTCAGTCCAGCCTTGCAAGATGCTCACAGTGAAAGTGCAAGAGAAATGCATCTGTCACTCACCAGGCACATACTGGAACAAGTAATTCTGTGAGCAGCAGTGCTAGTGAAG